GCGTGCGCAGCACCTGGCAGGCTGCCGGCCGAGCCAGCCCGACTGCCCGGTTCAGCGGACCGGCAGTCCGGTCTAGACCGGTTCAGACCGGCTGGACCGGTTCAGTCAGTTATTGTCAGTTTCAGTCCCGGTTCTCAATTTCAGTATCATTTTAAGTTAAAAATTCCGGGTTCAGTTCAGTTTGGAAAGTTCATGTCCGATCAGTTCATGTCAAATCAGTTCTGGTTATTCCGGTTAAGTCTAAATATCATGTCAGATTCAGTAGAGCATCTTACGAAGTTAATCAGTTAAGTTAACAGTCTGAGCATAGTCATTTAATTGTTTATATTATTTTCAGTTTGATCAGGCATCAGCACTACCGTTCAGTTTCAGCAGTTCAGGTGGGGACTCAGACTAAGTACTACATTGATTATAATTACGGTATCATGCTTGAGGTATGTATTTCATGTGAGGTATCCGCTCGAAATGGTCGCCGGTCCATTCTGAGTTCTAGTGGCCCTAGTCTGCCCACTAGAGTGTGCACATGGTGTCTGGCATTAGTTTTTGCCGGCAGATGAGGTAACGGTCAGGGTCACGTTGCGTGACGATATCAGATTCATGTTCATGTTATTATCGGTTCCATGTTGAGGTTATGTATATGCCGATATCATGATGTTGTTATTATTTTCTATGTTTACATTAGTATGAGTTTCCACGGAGCACAGTGTCATAGTGCTCATTTCCCACTATTATCATGTTTTTCAGGTCAGGACGTCGGGCTGGGAGCGTGAGATGACGAAAGCTTCAGGACTTTCATGTTTTGATCGTATACATATTGTGATGATTTACGTTTCCGCTGATGATGATTTTTGATGAACTTATGTTTTGACCGAACTTTTGGAAAACTTTATGCTTTCGGTAACAGTATGATTTTATTAAAAATTAAGATAACGATTTTCCAAATTAAGTCACGTTTTTACGGTAGCGCCCCAAATCAGTTTTCGCAAAGTAAAAGATTTTATTTTTAAATAACTTTGCGAAATTTTTGCACTCTGATTTTACGATAAGTCGGGGTGTTACATACTCCATGTCTTATATTGAGATAGTGTGGTTCGAAGTGTTTTGAATAGAAAGATCACATATCAGTTCCTTATAAGACTAAACTATTCGTTCACAGTCTAGACAGGCAGTGAGACCCCTCTTGGAAAAAGACTGTAGTGTATTCTCGATTCAGTTGGTCTTTGACTGAAGAATTACACTAGCACTTATGATAAGTGTTGAACATGACCGCAGAAGGATAAGATTATGAGACTCACTAATCGTTGTTGTAATCTAGACTTTCGGTGATTGATGCGTTCTCTTAAGTTATAAGATAATATAAAATTGGAATATATTTTCACTTCTTGTTTATTTGATTTACCAAGTGGTTCATATTTTTATTAGGATGACATACGAGATATTTTGGCAAACGAGAATGATTATATGATGTGCTATTATAAATTATTTATGGTCACTATTTTCCAGTGCGCTGGATTGATGATGTCCCCGAAATGAGCTCAGGAATGTACATTATGTTAAAACCTTGGAGGTAGACGATTGTCTGACATAATGGTTAAGGATCTGAGTGGTACTAATTTCGGAAATGAATAAGAAGTTGATTAATTATTTTTTTAGTACTATAATTAATCAACTGATGTTATATCTTAAACATAGGGAGGTAAATCGATCAATCAGATTAATATTATTTAATCATGAAGGTTTGAATTTATTGATAAATTAGGAGCTAAATGGGGTGAGCAATAATATTACTCTAGTGGGATGTATTATTATTTAATTCCATTTAATATGGAATTAATTTTATTCTATATTTATTATTCCATTAGGAAAGAAATATTCCTACTAGAATCTTGTCTAAGGTTAAAAGACTTAGGAGTCTTCTAGAAGGTGATGAGTAATAGGAGAGTCCCATCCTAGATTGGATTTGTAATTGGAGTAGAATTAGGATTCCTTGGCCTAATGGATAACCCCATATTTAGCACCTTCTTAAGGTCCCTAATGGAGCCTATAAATACACCATGTCCCAACCTCTCCTACAATGTTGTCTTGGCCGATTTTTCTCCTACATACACGAGAGAAACAGAATCGTTCGAGAGTTAGGGAGATTCGATTAATCGCTCCACCAAGATTAATCGAAGTAGGTGTTTAGGTAATCCATTAGAAGGCTTTTGGGTACAATATATTTTAGAGTCTTCCACATATATTTTTTGGGTCATCTTCCTCCGACACGAGCCACCGTCCACCGCCGCAGAGGTTCGTCGGAAATCGCCGCCGCCGCCGGAAGTCGCCCAGGCCCAGTCGATCGCAACCGCAAGCTACTGCTCGCAGTCGCGCTCAGCCAGGCCCAATGCCAGCTCCCAGCAGCGACCGCAACCAATGCCCATGAGCCCCAGTTCTGCCTGCCTGCTCGTGACCCGCATCGCTGCCGTTACCAACGCACGAGGAGTACGCGCGCATCATTCGCCCGCGCTCAGTTGCCTTGTCGCGCACGCCCGCGTGAAGTCAGTCGCCAGTGCCTGTCCGCCTCGGCATAAGAGTACTGCCCAGCGTGCACGCACATGCCCAATGACCACCAGCGCCCATCCGCGTAGTCCAGCTGCCCGCGCGTCACGCCCAGCGCCTGACGCGCACCTGCTGTCGACCGCGACCAGCGTCTGTGACCATCCCGCTGCACCCGACTCCGAGACATGACCACCGTGCGATTGAGCTTCGTTGGAAATTTCGATTAGAATCAATTAAAGACCAAATCTATCAGCCCATTAGATTGTGGTATTCTGACGAACTACATCAACGGTATTCAACATCATCACTGAGTCGGCAAAAAATTTTCAAAGGTAATTTCCAAATCCTAACTATAGATTCTGCTGCATTAGGATTTATTTCGATAAGTTCAATACTGTGCATGTTGTTTGACGTTCCTCATAGAACCCAACACATTAAATGAGGCAACGGATAAAAAACCGCATCCCACGTAGCTGTCAATCATAGGCGCATGTTTCGAAGGACGTTTCAAATCACAAGACCAGCAAGTGACTATTACGCGCCCCTCTTTTTTTCTTTCAACGGTAATTTTTAGGGTTAGGTATAAATACCGTAACTTTATCTTGTGTTGATTTTACTGTCGAATTTCCTGTGCTCTGTCTTCTTTGTTCTTCAATTCACTAGCTACTTCAAATTTCGGTCGCCTTTTGGCTTCAATTTTATCATTCAGAGATCTTGGTTGGGTGGTAAGCATCTGCCAAATTCATCTCCTTCTTCTGCTTTTTTTTGTTTGTTCATGTCCTATTCGTGCTCTTACCAATATGAAATTGTCGTGGGCATCTTCGAGCGATAGCGTCATGGACGTAATGATGGTGAATATGGTGGCTTTCGGAGAGATGTAGCTGCTAGCGGAATACCATAGGTGGGATCCTCTATATGTCGAACATCTCGAAGTTTGATTGGATAACAAAGAGGGAGATAGGAAGGTTGGGAAAGGCGCAGTCGAGTCGGCAGAATACTGGAGAGTTCCTCCCTCTGTCGTATTGCTGCGAAAGGACGAGAGAGTTTCTCCCTCTGTGAGACTTTTTGCCCCTTACCCCAGAGAGAGGATTACCTGTCAATCATAGGCGCATGTTTCGAAGGACGTTTCGAATCACGAGACCAGCAAATGACTATTACGCGCCCCTCTTTTTTTCTTTCAACGGTAATTTTTAGGGTTAGGTATAAATACCTAACTTTATCTTGTGTTGATTTTACCGTCGAATTTCCTGTGCTCTTTCTTCTTTGTTCTTCAATTCACTAGCTACTTCAAATTTCGGTCACCTTTTGGCTTCAATTTTATCATTCAGAGATCTTGGTTGGGTGGTAAGCATCTGCCAAATTCATGTCCTTCTTCTGCTTTTGTTTTTTGTTTGTTCATGTCCTATTCGTGCTCTTACCAATATGAAATTTTTGTGGGCATCGTCAAGTGATAGCGACATGGACGTAATGATAGTGAATATGGTGGCTTTCAGAGAGATGTAGCTGCTAGCGGAATACCATAGGTGGGATCCTCTGTATGTCGAACATCTCGAAATTCGATTGGATAACAAAGAGGGAGATAGGAGGGTTGAGGAAGGCGCAGCCGAGTCGGCGAAATACTGGAGAGTTCCTCCCTCTGTCGTATTGCTGCGAAATGATGAGAGAGTTTCTCCCTCTGTGAGACTTTTTTCCCCTTACCCCGTAGAGAGGATTATCTGTCCTCCTCCGGGGTGTGTTAGTGTTTTTGCGGAAAGTTTAAGATCGGGCTTAAAGTTCCCTCTTCCTCGCATAATTACTGAGTATTTGCGTGACTGGGGATTAGCCTTATGTCAGATTGCTCCCAATACTTGGAAACGAGTAATAGGATTGTTAGTTTTATTTGCCGAGAAGGGATGGGATTTGCCCTCGGTAAAAGAAATGAGGAGTATGTTTACTTTTAGAAAGGGTGCAAATAGGCAAGTAGTGGACCCGCTTCTGTGTTTCTTCATTTTTGGAAAGCCTCAGCCGAGAGTTATGGTCGGGGAATTGATAACCGAGGTCCCTAACACTCTTCATGGATTTCAAGAGGAGTGGTTATGGGTTGGTGGGGAATGGGAGTGCTCTGACTTTCTGAATGATCCTTTAGTGGATGAAAAAACCATCCCAATGTCTCTTAAACCCGCTTATCGTAAGTTTTTCTTCTCCCTTTATTTCCGACGTTATTAATAATTTATTTTTTGCTTGTACTAACATGTGGAAATTTTTTGACATTTGTAGCAAAACCGAAGAAAGGGAAGGAACCTCGGTTTGAAGGCGAGCTGTATAATCGAGTAGACAAATTATTTGAAGTTTTGCCGCAAAAGCGAAGGTATCAGCGTTTCGTCAAAGATTCTCGGTTGGAGCGTGCTGGTTTATCTCCTGGTGTGATTGATCTGTCATTCTTGCTAGGTAAATAGGGATTTATTTGTTTGTAAATGGAGATAAAGTCGGATTTTTTCGAAGTAATACTAACCATGTGTCCTCTTCTTTTGACAGTTTACTATCCCTTGCTCGGCTATTTCAGTTTTCGAACTGTTGAAGGCGCCGAGGAATATAGGAAGCAAAATCCCAATTTTGATTTCAAGAACAAAATCGGCAAAGGCAGAGACTTGCGATCAACCGAGATGGTTGGACGAAAAATTTATTTAAAGCATGGAAGAAAAATCCACACAGTTCTCGGGCCGCAACCGTTGGCCCATCGAACGTTAGAGATGAAGCAACGCCCGGGCAAGAACCAATTAAGCAGCCTGCTTTGGAGTCGGCCGCTGGCGTTGGTGATCAGCCCATTGTGCCACCAACGTTAGCAATCATGGTAGTAAATGAACCAGTGGTAGAAACCGAGGGAGTTGATGGACTGTCGTTCCCGTAAAAGACGGGTGATCTCCGAGGTCGAGGATGGCCAAAGCAAAAAGAAGCATGACGTCGGGTCTGGGAAAGGGAAAGAGAATGAGCCAGAGATAACCCTGAAGGAGTCATAATTGAGAATTAGCAAAAAGAAAGCCACAGAGTTAAAGTTACCGGAAGACATCTTCGAAGCCATGGTTTTCACTATTTCAAACAATGGAAGAGCCGAAGTTGCCAAACCGACATCATTTACCTGAGTTGGCGATGGGGGCTACCAAGATTCCTCTGATGTCATGGGACCCAAGGATACATGTGGGCTTAACAGCAGTGCCGGGGAACCAAAGATTTGGGTATGCTAAGGCATGTTTAGGTCGTGCCTTAGTAAGCTTGATTGCGGTCGAGGAGAGCTTTCAATTGAATTCCTCGGAGCTTGAAGAGAAAAGCAATCAACTTAGTTTAAAAGATGGTACTGTTGCATCCCTGGAGGAGGAGAAGTCGGTATTGATCACGGATGCGTCTGGGAAGGACGCAAAGTTGAAGGAAATGGAGGCCGAGATTGCGGCATTGAAGGCCGAGAGAGAGCATATACTATCGGCCCATGACATTATGTCGGTGGAGCTTTCCAAATCCAAGGAGGAACAAAAGGCTCTGGAAGAACGATTTCATAAAGAGAGACTCGATCACTAAGTGACGAGAAAAGATCACTCGGAGAAAGAAGCAGAACTAATCTGAGGTCGAGAGGCACATTAAGCCGAGATGGCGACGCTTCACGAAGAGATGGCCGCAGTGGCCAAAGCCAAGTATGAAGAAGGGCTCGAGGCAGGCAAGATATCGGAGAAGAGATCCGATGATGAGTACGAAATAAAGGACAAGGACCTTGAGCTGAACGCATGTGTGACCCTTCCTTGGGTAATTGATCGCATGGATGGTAGTGTTTACACGATTGATGAGTTGCGAATTTTCTTGTTGGAAAAATTAGAGAAACATGGATTGGATTTCGAGATTAAGAGCGCACATATGCCAGCAGACGAACACGAGAAGGAGTTTGCTGAAAAATTACTTATGCATAACGAGGCCCAAGCGACCGAAGCAGAAATCCCTCCTCTCTCTGAAGAACGGAGAGCCGCAATTCATTGTGCTTTTGTTAACATGGTGCTTGAGCTCGAAAAGGAGAAGAAGTTGGAGCTGGCCGATATTTGCGTTGATGTTGTGGCTAAAGCTTTTATTGAACAAGAGCTGGAAAATATATCACCGGAAGAATTAATTAATGCCATCACAGCTTTCGCTTTGCACAAGGTGGCCAAAGAAGATGCTAAGGCCATGGGTTGGGTTGTCGGATATGTGGCCCCTGAGGAAAACGAGGTGATTACTTACCAAGATGACGTGGTCCTAATCACTAAAGAGGGCGTCTTATCAGCTGTTAAGAGGAAGGAGAATGAGGTCTTCGAGCATATAAGTGAAGCTCTTTTGAAACAACTTCAAGATGAAGACAAAGCGGCAATGATGGCAGAGCCTCGACGTCGGGTGTCGATAAAGAGAAAGTTGAAGAGGAGGATGTCAGAAAATATTCCTGATTTAGTTATGTTTAGAACGTTATGATTGTATTATCTACCCTATCTTGAATGAATGATAGTATTTGTCTTTGTGTGATGATGTTCTTCTTTAGTTTTTAATGTCGTCAGACTCAAAGAATGGGTGCACAATTACAAAATCTTTAAGGGTCTCTGAAAAATATTTGGTTTAATTCTAAAAACTAAAAATGATGTTTCAGTTGAATTTTCTGAGATAAAGTTAAGTAAAAGTTGGGTTTAAACGTTTGATGACTTACCCACTCTTTCTTTTATGGCTGAATCTGATGAACTTTTAAGATGTCGATGCCTTATATGTCCGACGTGCTCCAAATCATCTTTAGGGTTTGGTTTTGCATTAGTCTCATTAAGTCAACTTTGGGACTTGGCAATATGTGACTATGATCCGACTACGTTATTGACGTCGGCGATTTTATTGTAAGCCCGCTAAATCAACTTCAGGATTTATCTACGAGGGGCATCAGCCTCCCCAAGCCATCTTCAGGGCTTGAAAGTATCTGGTTGTTTTGCACCAACCCGTCCAGGTCATCTTTGGGACTATGAAGTAAGGCTTATGCAAGGTGGACAGATTTTTCGAGAGTCCGTTGGCCGGATGATTTTATCGAGATCCGGCAGCTGCACTACACAAGGTCTTCTTTATAGCGATAAACTTGTACAACACTCTGCTCAGATTATTGAAAGTACTTCTTGAGAAACACAACATTCTAAGGGTATTGAAGGGGGGTACCACTTGGATCTTCGAGTCGGTATGTGGTGTTAGATATCACTTGGGTCACCATGTAGGGTCCCTCCCACTTGGGCTGTAATGGTCTGGGGTTGGCCCCGGTTATCCTCTTCAAAACGAGGCCTCCGACTTGGTATGGGCGAGGTTTGAATTTAGCATTGATATATTTCTCGCTTCGCCTTTGGTAAGCGGCGTTTCTGATTTCGGCTCCCGTACGTAGTTCTTCAATCATGTCGAGTTCATCTTTCAAGTTTTCTGAGTTTGAGTCTTCCGAAAAGTGTTTAACTCGATACGTCGGGGATTCGAGTTCAACCGGGACCATAGCTTCGGTACCATAAGTTAGAGAAAACGGTGTCTCTCCAGTTGAGTTCCGAGATGTTGTGCGATATGACCAGAGAACATAGGGCAATTCCTCGGGCTAAGTTCCCTTGGCTGCATCGAGGCCGAGTTTTTAGCCCGTTCTTGATAATCTTGTTTACAGCTTTGACTTGCCCGTTAGCTTGGGGATGATATGGTGAAGAAAATAAATGTTTGATGTCGTAATCTTCGCAAAATGTGTCGAACCTTTTACCATTGTAATGCCCCGTTAAATTATAGATTTTTCGAGTATTATTTATTGTTATTAATATTATATTCTTGATATTATTTGTCTAATTATTATTATTATTATTATCATTATTACATGTCTAATTCTCACTAATTGTTTAAAATATTATTATTATTAAATAATTATTGTGTGTAATATATATATATATATATACATATGTTATTCGTTTTTAATTTATTTTATCGTCATGTGATTGAACCGAGCCTAGTAAAACCTTTGTCGAACCTTGGGGTACCCAACCCGAATGTTACTCATATTATCTAGGATAGATTTTAATATTACGGCCGAGTTTCGATGAGTATCCGGCCCAATCGGGATTTCTTGTTCATTAAGTTTATTTCCTTGAAACCCAAATTTACGAGGAATGTTTTTGGAACGGAAATAATATCTCTAATCTATTTCCATTTTCCATTACACCATATTAAATTATGGCATGAGAATTCCTTCACACTTATTTGAGATATCAAATAATTGTTAGTTGCTTTCCCAGCCTTTATTCACGCCTTATTTTCCCCATAAATAAGGAATGAGAGATACTTTTCAATCTTTTTAACCTCGTTCCTCAAGAAATCTTTCGTCCATATATTTCCCCTCAAATTACGTTTCAAAGCAGAACATTTTTTTTCACCCAAAGAAATCGCCCAAATCCCTAACCTTAAATCGCAGTTCGTTCGAGCAAACCCCAGGTCGAGAACCACGATCAGTTCCCTCTGTTCACGGGCATGGGTACCGAGCAGACCAGCAGCGCCCTTTCGCGAGCATCACTTTTTCTTTTGCCGTGAACAGCAGCATCATCTTCCCGTTGACATCCGAGCAGAACCCAGGCGAGACTATACCCTCCGACGGCGTTTTCTTCTCCACGCGTAGAACTCCGGCGAGCAGCACCTTGTAGCGACCTTCCTCGTCCATTCGTCGGGCCGTAGCTTTTCCCGTCGCTGAGATCATCCCCGGTGTTAGGGTGAATTCAAGCAGGCCCGAACAACAGAAGACCATTGCTGACAGTCCCTCTTCACCGCGCGCCTGGTTGCAGCGGAGACCCCCGCAAGCCCGAGACCCTGTTCCCGTTGTTCGTGCTTTTGCCGTGCGTTTCCCTTTCTGTCCATCATTGTCGGGTCCCGTTTATTGCTGCCCAGCCCCTACTGATCACTCGCACAACCCTCGAGCGAGCCGAAACTTAGCCGTCGAGCTCCGTCGGCGCACTCGTTAGTCCGTTTTAGTCCCATTTCGTAACCCATCCCGAGAACGGTATCCGGGCTAACCCTTGATTTATTTATTCCGCCCCTAAATGTGTTCAAGTGTTCGTATACGTTCATAGTTGCTGAACGTGTGAAATACGAGTCAATTACGTGCTTTGGATATGTTATTGTGTCGTATATTGAATTTATATACTATTTGGGTATCAAAGTGATTGTCGTCACTTTGGTTTATTGTCGAACTGAGATTCGAGTGGTATTTTTCGTGGAATTCTTGGAATTATAGGTACTTGGAGTTTTCCTTGATTAATTGGTTTTGGTTTGAGGTCGTTTCGATGTGTATATCATGAGTTATGAATTTTTTTAAACCGAGCATGATGCTGAATTGTAATTAATTCATGATAAATCGTGTCATTGTCCGAATATCGTGAAATTATATATGTGATGTCCTGTTATTATTTTGTAAGTCGTGTAAAATTTTCAAGTAGAAACTCCATCTGTAGCTATTTTAATTAATTAAATTGCTTTCTAATCAGAATTTGTAAGATTAATTAAAAATCATACACTTGGAGTTTTGAACTGAAAATTTGAGGATTATGTTATTATGTGTAATTCTATGTTGTGTCAAAATTTTATATTAAAATTCGAAGTGTAGCTATATGAACTATTAATGTCGGATTTTAGCACTGTTTTTGCTTTAATTATTTAAAAATGCTCCTAAATAAATTTAGGGCTGACATTTGGTGAGATTATGTGTTTTTGTATGCCCTATGATGTGGTAATGTTTCATATTGATTTGTTGAGTCTAACTACAGATTTTGAATTTTGTTTATTTTGGAGTCTTAATGCTCGATTATCCGTTGTCTAGGTCTGGGTTAGATTTTATTGATGAAAGCATGATTTATGTGTATTACCTGAGGTATGAGAATTGTGTTCAAGTCTAGTAGTCACTCCATTGTACCTAACTCGGTCAAGGAATCCACGAGTCACTTAGTCGATATGATTTCGGCTAAGTATATGTGCCTTGTGTGTTGTTTCGTATTGGATAGTCGGTTGATAGGCTATTATAATTATTGTGGGTTCTTCGAGCTATACTTTTGCACTAATTCCTTCGACGGTCTGGCTCGGGAGCTACTGGAGGGGCTGCGACTGGCTGGACTGGAGCATTTCTGCGATTAGCCATCTAGATGGCCAGTTGACAGGGTTAGCACATGAAGGAGTTTGGCAGAAGAGATGAAATATTAATAACTCAATACTTTACACATTTCTTGGCGAGTCATTGAGAAAATAAAACTTAACTTGTCTAGAGTTCTGAATCAAATAGGAGTTCTGAATTTGACTAGAGTTCTTGTCTAGAGTTCTCATTCTCATAGGAGGATAGTTTTCTAGGCCCCTGAAATTTTCATATTGAACTGATAAAGCACTTGCAAAAATAAAGACTGGTTTAGGTGACTTACCTCGGAGTCAGCGCAGGCGTGAGCGTGGTGTGGTCACTCGATATCAGTCCAGTCAAGCCGAGAAGCCAGTTCTAACATTATTTGTTTATTAACTTGTGCTTGTTTTATCTGTGTAAATTAATTGTATATATGTTTTATATGTTTAGTCTGTCTTGCTTGCCTATTTGCCACCATAAGTGCTAAAGTTTCAGAATCAGATGTATCATTCAAGCAAAATACTTAGATATAATTGATTGTATATGTTTGGTAGCTTGTGGAGAGTCGAGCCTCCAACAGCTACACCCGTTTTCAGCACTTGCACAGTCTTTCAGCATAATCAGGTGGGGACCCTACACTGGGTATTACATCGCTTATAATCAATGTACCATGTATGAGGTATGTATGTAGATACTTACCCGAACGGTTGAGTTATCCCGTTCGTGGTCCAGTTTATGATGACTCGGTCTTGTATGGAAGGTTTTTCCATCCCGAGTCACTCACCCGGTTTTGAATGGTGGTTATTTCCATCCTGGGTTTCTGAGGGAGGCGACCCCCAGAATGTTATCACATGAGAATCCGACCAGTTTTTGGATGTTGCACCAGTACAGTACAGTTTTATTTATGTATATGCTGAGTTCATGATATTTTGATTACATGTGTTGTATATTCACTGTTGGTTCCTGCGGAGCATGGTGATTTAGTGCCCACGCCCCCACTATTTATCTTTTTAGGTGATGGTGTACAGCCCCGAGCGTGAGCCGAGCAGTGGTGTGGTGGTGTCCGACAACAGTTGGACATTTATTATGTGTATGTTTATGTTGGCATGTAATAACATAATTTTGTATTGTACTGTACTTTATTTACGCTTCCGTACTGCCAACTCAGAACCAGTATGCATGCATGTTTA